GATAGCTTTCCTTGGTTTCACTTCATTTCTCGTTATTTAGTGGTTGTTTAGTTCTAGTCCCAGCCTGTTCTCCCCAGATGGACCACTTCTTTCGATTCACACGTTCCATGGAAACAGTTGTTTTGTACTGTAAGCCGATAACTTTCAAACATCCTGCGTAGGTGTATTAAATAGCCCGTGTTCGTACCTGCTGCTTTCTTATCAACAGTGTATGTAGTGATGTTTCATCACCCATGGCCCGTATCTTTGACAATGCGATTCCTAAGGTTCAGTGAGTGAGTCCGGAGGCGACGCGAATGAATCACAACCCTCCACGATCATTTAAATTAATCAATTTGTACTAAATGCTTTATAGGTATCTATCAGACACGTGCAAGTATAATAACAATTCCAATCCATACAAGTGTTTATCCTCTTCTTGATAGTCACAAACTTATAAAGCCTGTATCCAGGCAACACTTATTCTTCTGGAAATGCTTTTTGCTTCCGCTTGGGAGCCGGAGTGAGAACACCTTAATACTCCAAAAACCCAAAACGACAAAAAAAGAAATGCAAAGACTAAATGAAGTCATTTGCCGTGATATAGCTGCCAAGGTGTTCACGGAGGTTCTCCTGAACCGTCTAACAGTTGTTTGGTTTAACCACATTGCACATTGCTGTCCGGAGTAGGAATCAGTAACAGTGTTCCAAAATTTTGCCCCCACGGAATCTGCTTGGTTGATCGCAATGTAATCATCAACATCGTACAGCGAAATGATGATGACATTGCATTCAACCAAGGAGGTTCCGTGGCGGCAGAATCTTGGAGCACCGTTACTGGTTCCTACTCCGGACAGCGATCTGCTTCATGAATTCCCGCGCAATCCGATTTAACCATTGGAACGTGCCTGTTGAGTATTACCACCGATGCGTTACAAAAAGCTCAGTTTCAAGGGCATTCGATCGCTTGTTCGCACGTATGGTGATGATGAGTCGACAGCTTGCATGTCGAGTTCTTCCAGATTGTACACTTACCAGTGATTTTCCCGTCGCAGTCCACTGGATCGTGCGAAATGTACTCATCGACCATCGCCGAGCGCAGCTTAGTTGCGATATGATAGCACATTTAGAATTCGCGGATGACATCCTTGCCCCCTTGACACCCGTAGCGATGCGATTCACGGGCTTTCATATCTTTTGTCGCTTACGACTTCCATGGGCATCGCTGCTGATCATCCGCGACCGCTGATTCACCGGAGCGATAATGAGCTATTCACAGTTGTCCAGATGAGTGACTACTCTCCGCAACTTGGATTTGCAACAAGCAGCTTACGCACACTTGCTATCTTATATGAACGGAGAAACTATATTGCATAGGTGATAACCCTGTCCTGGTAACCAGTTCGATACTTCTCGTTTTCCAAAACTAAGGTGTCTGTTTGAATCAGATTGAATTGCTTAGCGTACCCCGAATCAGGTTCAGTGCGCGATCAGCACAATGAATATTGCGCAGTCACAGCTAAATAATAATGGCGCACATAAAACTCCTCCGTCAGCAGTAGTCGTGTCTGTCAGACTCACCGGATCTTGTCCCACGATACGTTCCCAACGATTCCAGTCAAATCGTCAGTTGTCATCATTGTGCAACGTAACACAGCGAGATGAACTTCACTGATCGCTGCGAAACTCATAATGCATACAAAATAAGTGAGAACGTGTGAGGAAGATAGGGATCAGGCGTATTTTTAGGGAAGGGAAAAAAGCAAACCTGTATGGTTATCACAGAGTACGCAGTCCAGCTGTGCATACACACTTTTTCAAGGATTTTGGTCTGGTGAGATGATTGTCACTGCTGTCGGTTTGCTTCCATGACCTCCAATTTCTCCAACCGTCTCGTTAAGGAGTCTGCAGATCCTATTAGACCACCTGCTTTGAATATGATCATGCGTTAGTTCTGATGCAGTTCACTCTCCAGCTCACTGGTAACCGGAAACCCTACCAAACTCGTTCGACAGATTATCGCTTATCCGACCCAGCCATTCGTGCCCGTTTTGAATTAGAACTAGGTCAAGAGCTGAGCGCGCTGCGGGATGGTAGTGTAAATGAACAATGGGATCAGGTTAGCCGAGCATTGCTCTCCGAAGCGAAGGATGCTTGTGGATCTGAAGCGATAGCCCGACCGAGGCATTCGATATCTGATGGATCAGTAGCACTGATGGACAAAAAACGGCAAATCCCGATCACCCGGGAACAAAGNTTCAGTGGTGTCTGCAACATCAGCTCACGAAGAGCCTCAGGAAAGACCGTGAGAACTGGTGGGCAACGATAGCTAGTGAAATGGAAGTTGCAGCTGCATCAGGGAACGGTCAGACTGTTCCAACTGATACGCAACACGTGAGGGCGGCGAACCACAGTTAGTGAAACAGTTTGACAAGACAGGCTATTCACAGTAGGGAACAACGGCTTGACCGGTGGGCGGAGTACATCATCGAACAGTTCAGCTGGCCAGATGTTAACCAGACTATCTCGTCTGTTGTAGCTGAGGCTCCGTGGGCAGTGTCATCTGAACCTCATACTGCATCGGAAGTTCGTTCTTGCATCCAAGCCCTGAAGAAAGGAAAAGCAGCAGGGCCGGATGGGCTTCCCACTGTTTTCAAGATGGGGGACGACCGCGAACAACAAGCGGGATTTCGACCAGGTCGCGGTTGTATCGATCAAATCTTCATGCTGCATCAAGACCTCAAACTACGCCACACGCACCGTCGAACAACGGTTGTGTTCCTTGACCTAAAAAGAGCCTTCGACTCAGTTGATCGTGAATCCCATATGGGTTCGCTCCTTCACAAAGGAATGCCGCAGAAGTATGTGAACATACTGAAGTCACTCTACTTGTATACTTATGGTAGCGTAAGGGTCTACGGTAAGCTGAGTAGGTCATTCTTAGCTAGCAGCGGTGTTCGTCAAGCTTGCCCTCTTTCGGCATTTCTGTTCAATTTTGTCATAGACGAAATGCTGGAGAACGCGCAGTGATCTCCGAAATGTAGGTATTAAATGGGCAGCTGGAGAGAAGCGGTGCGATTTGGAGTACGCTGACGACATCGTCTGCTTGTTCGAATGTATGGAGCACTTGGCAGGTTAGGAAGTTCTGCTGCTCCTTTCGGTATGTGCTTTGCACCTTCAGAGTGCAGAATAATGCTGCAAGACCGGGTGTTGCCGAGTTCTGCTCTTAAACTAGGCGGTAGAAAATTAGCTGAAGTTGACTGCTTCTCGTACTTAGGTAGCTGCATGGCAAACGACGGTGGTGCATCAAAGGAGCTGACCGCCCGCATTTTCAAGGCTCGAGCAGCGTACGCAGGACTGAAACACTTGTGGTGACGATGTGATGTTTCATTGAAGTTGAAAAGCCGCGTATACTGTACCACTGTACGATCAGTTCTGCTGCACGATTGAGACCTTGAATTTCCTGGTGGGAGAAATCCGTCGTCAGTGGTTTTCGACAATCGACGTTTACATAGTCTGGCCCAAGTGGGATGTAGTGAGCGGGTTAGTAACCCAGAAGTAGGTCGTCGGGTGTTTGGGAATGCATCGAACAAAAACGCTATCGCTTCGAATTCAGCTCAATAGGCTCGTATGTTAGGACACGTTTTGCCTATGTACGACGGTCACCTACCGCAGCGCGCCTTATTCGCAGTCGCTGTTACAGGCTGGAAAATGCCGCATGGAGGCCAGAAGGTGACGTGGAGACGAAACATGAAGAAATGCACGGAGACATTAGGCAAAGTAGGTGTCTCTCGTCTTCCGGGATGGGGGTTCGAAAGACTCCGAAACCGGATGGTTAGAGACACTGAAGGTTATAGCTGCGAACCAACAGAAATGGCGATCATGCTATCACTTCTTAGCAGTCCAGAATGCTTAAAGTAGTATGTATGCACAGTTGGACTGTGTACTCTGTGTATTGACCATAGAGATTCGCTTTCTTTTCCAGTCCCTAAAATTAAATCCAATCCCTATCATTCTTACACATTCTCACTTACCTGGTATGCAGTGTGAGTTTGGCGGCGATCAGTGAAGTTCGCTTCACTGTATTACGCTTTAGGATGATGATGACGAAGACTTTGCCACTGAAAAATCGGACCGTCGCCGATTGAGTGATAGTTCACCGGGTCATCAAAGTCCTGTTGTGTCCATTGTATACTTGTGGATAGTTCATACGCTAACATCTGGGTTTCAAATATCAATTGATATCTGTTCAAACTAGTAGTCACAAATTTCTCGAATATGCTGCTTACACACCTTTTTCCTCTGTTCGCTCTTTTATCTTTTGTATTTCCGCAGGTCATCCCGACACGCATTATATGCGTTTCATGGTTCTTTATCGCGACCTTCCCATGCGATGCCAATGTGGGCATTGGTTCAAGTTGATCGACATGGAACGGTTTGAACAAGAACGTGAAAAACATTGGCAACAGATAAAGGATAAACCCGAAAATGCCAAACTTCTCCAGGCTCTGACTGACGCAGAGAATGAATTGAATCGCCTCATGGAACAAGGCAAAGATCTCAAAAGAAACAGCCCAGGTGCTGATGATCTCCTTGAAGCATTGTCTATTCAGTGGCAGAAGTTGAAGAACGCCTATTCAGCTATTCGTCTAAAAATGGAACTGCCTTAACTGTGTTCCTGTTAGTTCCGGAACGTCAGACGTTAGTGCACTGGCAAGTGCTGCGCGTTGCTTGCTGTCAGCATGTCTCAGGTGCTTTGTTGGTCGATTTGGAATAATTATTGTTGACCAAGCATAGAAAAATTTAGACTTGAATTTTTCTTCTTTCTTATCGCAGTTTTTTGCGGTTGACACCAGCTGATGTCAGTAGATTAACATACCTCCGGAGCGTTATTCCGAAGTATGTTTACCTGATGGGACCAATTTACCTATGTAATTCTAACCGAGTGGGGAGCTACTCGTGTAAAACCCCCATCGGCGTTAGTCAAAAGTGCCCTGTTTCGCCATCCTTGTTTGATTTCATCGTCGAAGAGTTATTTGAACACCCCTTAGTTGTCTTCGTGACTTTGTTCTTGAATGAGCAGTTGGAAATGGAGAGNNNGGAGAGAATTTTGAAGAAGGCGTCTATTTATTCATATATTTGGAAGTGGCACAAGGTGAATTAGGTTGATAAGTTCTGTTGCTCCTCTTCTTATGCACATTCAAAGTACACAGGATGATCCGAAACTGCTGTGAAGGGTTAACCATAGTTTATAGCATTTACTTATGTAGCTGTCACTACATCCTGACGGTACATGCGTACCACATGCCCCAACCAACGTATTCTATGAAGG